CACAAGCAGTCAAAAGACACAACATACATATTCATTAATATCAATAAATATGAATAATGATGAACATCAGTTCAATTGGTAAAGTGTGAAAATCAAACAGAATGTACATCAAAATTATCAGCTAATAAGGAATAAGACCAACCCGTGAAAAGGGCAAATATAACAACAAGGTAATCAATATCCGTGGAGGTAAACACAACGATAAGAAAACCCTTAGGAAACAATAAACTGCACTCGTGATTATCACGTAGAAGACGGTTATTTCGTTCATCCAGAGAACTCCAAAATCATACTTCAATTTGAAGTTCAGCAGTGAAAATGTTGTTTAGACGGACTGCAAAAGTTATGCAAATAAAGCAGACAGTTAAGTGGACATAACAACAAGAACAACAACACAAAAAGAAGAAACAAATTTCACTGGATCAAATACAATAAAAAAAATTCATATAAGATACTTGAAGGCTGTTAGCACTTTTTATTGCTATGGTAGAGTTCATATTATAATTTAATTGACTAGGTATTTTTACAGTGGAAATATCACTCTTGAATCTATGAAGATTCAATGTTTTCAAAAAAACTCTGTTGTAAGTGTTCAGAGTGTCACTAGTATAATGATATTAAGTATCAGCATTAAATTCATTTAACTTTGAAATACAATAAGTGAGTAATTGAGAATATGTGAATGTATAATTAATAGGACTTTAATTCATGTATGTGAAGATACTTTGCACATACTTTGAGAGGATAAGTTCAAACTTCATTTTAACACAGAAATAAATAGGATTAGCATAGTATATTATTGTATATAGAATTGCTCTTAGAAACAATCAATATCTCATGAACACTGATAAAACTCCGTTCAAATATACTTATTTACAAAGGTAATTATTATGCAACTTGCCCTGTCCTTTTGGTTATATTAAATAGTATTATTATTAGCTATCTCATACTTATATAAGTGGTGATGAAGTTTCAAAGATGATGTAACAACTGCTTCCGGAATTCGTTTGCTTTTGAGTATATCTATTAATGATTAAAATTTGGAAGTTATTTGGGTGTTATTACCTTCTGTAACGTGAATAGTTGAATCGTGAAAGCTTCATTATTCTACTAGACAGCATTTCAAGTGCTAACTTTGATGTAGGATGATTATCTTACGAGTAATTTTATTGACCCGTGAGCAAATACATATATGCAAAATGCATACTTTAATATGCATTTTGATATCTTCGAACTTAGAGTTAATTTCTAGATGAAATAATTTTGTGGTTTTATGTTTTGTTGCTGTTGTTCCCCTTAGTTTTCCCAGAGCTACTGAAGAAAGACTAAGTTTTATTTCGTAGGATGTTATAGGTTATCAGCAGGGTAAGCGATGTGCTGCTTAACCGATTTGTTAATATTCTGGTCTACAGGTACTTGGAATCATGTGAAAAATGGGCTAAATCCATTTTATCTAACTCTCACCACCCTCTTCACATTCACAACTCTCCCCTTGTATCTCATCAGGCAGAACTTAGAGCCTATATAGAAAACTATATGCTCTCACTAGCAAGTACAAAAACTCTACCATACCCTACTTAGCTCGTGTTCTGTGGAATAAAAAAGGTATTAGGCGTGAAACTTATAACTTACTAAATGGTCAGTGGAAAAATTCGATCTTGTCTTTCCAATTCATATCATTTATAGGTACAACGTTTCCTTTCTCTCTCTTTTTTCTGCTATGTGCTGCTTTGTTTCTCTCTTTCTTACAAATTCTACTTAAAACATTCTTCTTCGTTCTTTCACACTCTGTTTATCTCGACCTTTTTGTTACCGCTTACGCCAGTAAGTATGCTAGCATCTACTTTTCTTAACACCTTCAAACATTCCGTTCTTTATTGGCTTTGCTACCGATATGGAAATATGTTGTTTTTAAAAGTAACCCAGATTACCCTTAATCAATGTAGAAATTTATTTATTGTTAATGTGCAAACAGGATGCAATACTGTAGTAAAATTCTGAGAATTCCATTCTGTATCACAAGTACTGTTTTCGAATAAAGCAAATTATTATTATTATTACAAATGTCATATGAATTCTGTTGTAATTATTTGTAATCGTAGTATTAGTATTTCGAGATGACCGAATTACAAGAATCCAAACAAAACACAGAGAGGGCGGAATTCAGGAATTTGTATTTAGCGGAATTCTAATGCAATTCATATAAGAAACATATCAACAGTCAACAGTAAGTATTTAAACAATACAGAGATAGAAATATTCGTTCACCACAAATTCATTGGGAAATGAACTTGGGAATGTATCTGGTAATTGATTATTAAATATTCACCGCCATCTTCTGTGACACTGATTACATTTTTATACGAATGTAGTGAATCCACTTGGCGTATTTCAAATTAACAAGACATATACTTATGGTAGTGTTGAAAATGCTCATTCAAGAGCAATCTCCGCCTATTAGGTATTTTGACACAAGTTAGCTTATGTTTTCATTCGTTTACGTAGAAACCAAATGAAAAATCACAGCTTGAATTATTTGAATTAGTGACAACAGTTCCCTTATTCCTAATTTAGCAATCAATATTTTAACTTCTTTATTATATGCATGTACTGGCACGCCGTCAATAAAAAGAGGTCTACGTCGAACAGAATCAGATGCAAATAAGATAAATTAATAATAAGCCATCATTTGCTGTCAAACATTTGGATCAGACTTAGTGCTACTCTTAAAAAAAGCCTGGTGGTGTGTACCATACACTGAAATCGATTAAAAAAAAGTGAGTATATGTCAAAAGAGTGAACAGTTCCCGTATATATCCTATGAACAGATTTCTGGATAGTGAATTAAGTCCACCTAGATGACATTTCGTTGGTAATGTGTACAATTCAGCAGACTGGCATTCTAGAGACAGGTTAAAAATGTAGAAGACTTAAAATGCATTTAAATAACAACACCGGATGGTTCTTTTATCTCAGTAGCCTAGTAAATAACCTGGGCCTTAACTTTTTGAAATGATACATTCTTGATATGAGTGTTAGTAGAAACATCATGACTAACGAGAAAGTAATTACATTCTCGTTGTTGGTTTATAAATGAAACTGGACGAGAATCTTAAGTTCTAATACCAGACGCTCCAATTGAGGTTTCTATCACCTTTCCTAACTGTTATTTCCTTCAGATTGATTACTTTAGAGAAATGTTTATTTAACAGTTATTAAAATCGCCATTACATTGCCATCATCAATACTATTAAATCATTTCTACCAACAGGAACCTAAAGATACTTGGACAGTTTTTCTTGTGGAAAGCTGATAATATGAAGCTTAATCAAGCGACATATAGACGATATAACACGACAGCATATAATACTAATGTATATGAGTAGTTGTTAACCATACACACGTCAATCAGTAGAAGTTCCTGATCACTGCTAGGTGGTCTTTTTTCATATGGGTCTAAGGTCAAGTCTGAATGGTCTAAATCAGCTGAATTCCAGCCAGCTAATTAAACGAACTAGTGAAAATCTACCATAATTTTCTTTACAAATCGAAGTTATTCACGCCACAATATGTGGTCTGCTCTATATCATGCATAGAAGTGTAGACAGCAAGCATAAATGTATGACCTTAAATAAAAACCTTTAATTACAGTTCTTTTTTAAGCTCTTGATTAGTATTCAGTTTTCTTGTCTGTTATTTCGGAATATATAGCGAAAATGTTTACTCAGATATATAGAAAAAAAAAACGAAAATTGAGGAAATGAGGATGAAGAAAAGAACATCCTGGACAAATTTAACGATGTTCATCCTGTAATAAATTTTACCATTGAGAAAGAAAAAGACTGTAGTATTTAATTTTTGGCGTCCTTATGACCAGAAAAGAGGATGGGACAATTAGAAGAAGTGTATATTAGAAAACCTACATTAACCGACTGTCAGTATACTCATATTCTTGGCGTTGTGCCCTTGAAATACAAAGGCAATATGATAAAGTGCTTGGTCCATAGGGCAAGAAAAATCTACTCTGATGAGTGTTTTAATTAAGAACTTAATATTATTAAACAGTTACTGAGTGAAAGCAGATATCCAGAAAAATTCATTGATAAGAATATGAGTCAAAAATCAAGGCAGCCTAAGGTACCGACAGTTCTCAAAGAGGCCTTGTTCTTACAAATTCAATTCCTCAGGGATAACACCAGCGAAATATTAACACAACGCCTTAGGAATGCGTCAAAAAGGGCATTCCATACTGTTGCATTACTCTGTGTCTTCAAAACCATCCCTATTTTGCGTTCGAGAGTAAAAGATAAACTGTATGAATACCTACCAATTTGACTACTCCTGTGGAGTGAGCCATTTACATAGGCCATCATACAATTAGGCGTGTTTCTCGTCGCATTTCAGCACATCATCCTGCACAGTGGTTAAGTGAAGGACAAATAAAATCCATTCATAGCTCTATTCTTTCTCATCTTGTGGATACAGAACACAAGATTGGTGTTAATGAGGTAGCTTTCAAAATCATCTACACCATACCCACTAATCTCAACTTCATTTTAAGAGTTCGTCTATTACATGTTTCTGAGGCTAAAAGAAGTTGGTTGGTTCAGACACTGTCCTCACCTTGGCCATCAAGGTTCTAATGATCCTCAATATTTTTGTGGAAATTTACTTAATTTAATTGGATATTAAATTTGTATACCTATTATAATTTATGCATCTTTAATGAACTATAATTCCATTGATCTTACTTAAGAAACCGATAGCATTTAAAAGACACCAGTATTGTTAATGACTACAATTCTAGAATATTCTATGTATATAAACAAAGATATATATTTGTATATAATTGTAGAGCAAGGAGAGGAAATTATCGAAAAGGATATTCTTTGCTCAGTTTTTTTCTTAGTAATATGTCTTTAATTCCTCTTATTTAAAATTCTCGTTATCTGCTTTTTAACACTTTTAGCAATCAGTTGGTTGTGAATACAAAATTTCGAATGGATCTCAATGATCGAAAACTGATTATTCTGGTAACCCGCGTTTACGAAAAACCTTTACTTTTAAAAATACAAATTTAGGCATTAGTCAGTACATTTGTACAAGTATTAGTATTCTACATACTTTTTATATTAAGTAAAACTAAGTGAGTTACACTTCAATAGTAGCAATATTTTATCGCCCATTTCTAGCGAATTACTGAAGTGGTTATGTAATGGCGAATGGATAAAGTTGGGATTATGGTAAGATATATTTCTAGCCTATTTCAAATAACTTTTTCCAGCCTCTCTGGAACATTTATTATGGTCATTTGGATTATCCTACGTACATTTGGTAGGATTAAATCGGCAGTAGAAATTTTCCTTGCAGTTATACATGTAAGAAGTAATCAGTAGAAAAAAAAACAAACAAAAAACAAAGTGAATTTATTTTATTTGAATATTTAACACTTTATATTTGGCGCTAATCTTCATTGTTTTTGAAAATATTTCGCTTTCTTTTAGTGCATTACTATGGCCTTAGCAATCACTGCAATATGCTCAAGTTTTAGCGATCTGTGTTGTTGGATTGCATTGCCAGTTAGCTTTGTCTTAGCATTGGTTGCTATTTATATTGGTGTTCGGTTGAAAGTGTCTATAGTGGGAAATATAATGCCTTTATTGTATGTAATAGCAGCAGCGTCAATGGCAGCTATATTATCGAGTATATACATAGTAGAAAGGATACACCCTGAAGTAAGTTTATATTAGTTCAGATTGATCAATGTTATGAAATAAAAGTTTTGAAAAAAAAATAAAAGACAGATTCAGCGAAGAAATTTTTCTTTATCGACGAAATCATCTTCAAAGGCTGTGTACAGTCGTGTTTATACATACCAAAAATGTACAGTAGCCTATTATTGAGTAATAGGGGGTGACAGAATTGATATAATTACTCAGAAGTGGCTTTAGAAGTAAAAGTTGTAAAAGTTGTAAATTACGTGGTACTCAACGACACAAAGATAGAAATTTGATAAGGTTAAAATTGCTTTTTGAGTGAGAATAAAGTTAGTTGACTGTCAATTTAAGAAGTGTGAAGGGGATGTGAAAATGTACAAAAGGAGTATATGAGAGTGGTAATAGTGAATTAATTATTAAAGCAAAAGCAGACTAAAAGTAAAATTTAAAATATATATATATATATATATATATAAGGCATATAAAACCATTTGTTGCAAAAGAATGCCGATAATTTTTACGAATTTATATGGCCCATTAATTACACTTGTTATTATTATTTCACTTTATTATTATCTTTTAGGTTTTTAGTAAAGTTTTGTCTACAAGTCTTATTATTTTCATGCTATATGTGAGTTAAAGATTTACTTGAAATAACGCATTTAAATTAGTATTTATCTTGCATAATCCTGTCATGAAGTGTGTGCCATCTTTATTGATATACCCTGTCACTCCAAACTATAGATCGTACTTTATGCATCATTTTCATCATTTGTATGCTATTTCTTGACGAAGCTTTAACAAGCAGCGTGCGTGAACTTTATTTGCATTGATCGATTGTAACAAAACTCGCTTAGTTTAATAGCCGGTTCATAGCACAGAAGGAGAAGGATGGTTGGGCATAGAGCTAACGACTTTAGCCAGGAAAATCAGCCCAATCACTGCAGTGACTTCAACACACAGAATAAAATATATAAAAAATAAACCTATTTTTCCCTGGAATCGGAGAGACGGAATGATGCGAACTGGTGAGTGCTTCCAGAAAGCCAGTCAGTCGGTGTGCCTTCTTTCGATGAAAGCAAAAACAAGCATTGGGACTTGGAAAGCCAAAGAGATAAGAAGATATGGCACACAAGTGATCAGAACTTGTGAGCAGAGATAAAATGGAAGTGGACTCTCTAAGTTATCAACTGGAGAGTCAGTGATCTACTCCTGTTACTCAGATGACGATCACGAGCAAAATTTTATCAACCTCATTTAACAACTGTACGACAATGCCTCATGTCAAGTGACTCACAACGCATTACTCAGCTATGCCTTTGAAGTGAAGACAGGAGTTAGACAAGGGTGCCTGCTGTCCCTAACAATGTTCCTGACTGTAGTGGACTTGATCATAAAGCAGGCCGTATAGAGAGTGAGAAGACAGGAATACATCTGGCCTACAAAAGGGGGATTTTGAATTCGCAGACGATTTATGCTTAATGTTACACAAATCCGAATTTACACAGGGGAAAACCAAAAAAGTTGTCAGAAGAGGTTGGAAGTGAAGACAGGAGTACAATTGAACATAGAGAAGGGAGAGGTGATAAAGACACCTAAACAACAGCAACAACAAAAGCCAATCACAATCAACTGAAGAAATTTGAAGGAAGCTATTTCTTTCACTTGTCTGGGCGACAACTTTTCAGCTACAGGCAGCAAGGATGAAGATGTCAAAACTGGAAGATCTGAAAAGCAAGACAGACCTCTGTTAATCTGAAATCACAGTAGAAGTCTACTACAATAAACACAAATAGCAAGATTCGAAATTTCACCAAGGGGACTCTGGGAACGAACCAGCCGAGAATTCTTTTGAAAATCAATATGCGTGACATAGGAAATGGAGACAGGTCGGGTACGTCGTAGAGAGCGTTGACTGACATCAAGCAACAGGTTGTCAAGTGGAAACTGAGTGGGAGAGGATGGAATTCCGCTTTCGACTGTGAATGGGGAAGATCCTGTGAGAAGGAAATGGGTGTTCGTAGGTTGTCGTGCAGCTCGCCTAAGACTATTGCCGATGACAGGATAAACTGGTAGTGTGCTGCTGAAGCACTTTATCCCACTCAGGACATGTGGGAATAATAATAATAGTTGTAACAACAGTTACTTTCTTCATCACCTTCAGTTATTCACAGTCAGTGAGTCAGTCAACTGATGCAGACATTTTTTAATTGATTGGCTTTATTCCTATCACAGATGAAGCGTACCCAGACCTATGAATACCTTCTAATGGTCCCCTAATTGAAAGTCAATTAAAAAAGGAGGTGTTTGGACAAGTAACCTGTCGTTGTTAGCCATGAATTCATGACTAACTTTCATGTCTATCTCAGTACAGGGAATATTTTCACGTGGTCAACTGGTTGGTTATAGTGTCTTATCTGGAGGCGCATTCTAGTCAAGTTAGACGACAACCACAAACTCAGTAACATTCTGTTATAACAGTTCCACCGTAGAAAAATTTCATTTGATAAAATAACACTATAGTACTGATGACATTTCGAGCACAATTTATTGAAAAAGTGAACGAAACAAGAAGTTTAGCGAAAAGGCACTCTTCGGAGAATATTTTCTTTAACTGCACAATCAAATTTATATGCATCTTTTTTCACAGAAATAGATGGTAACAAAAGTGATGAGTTTTCATTGTCACAGTTGCTAATAAGAGCGTTAGAGTTACATGATGAGTTGAAAAAAAACCCTAAAACCAAGTTGGTATGAAACGACCGCGAAGTAATTTGGAAACTACTCGAGTACTACGGCATACCCCAGAATATTCATCAACCTTATTCAGCAGCTGTACGACAACGGCACATCTCAAAGTGATCCACATCGGAAAACTCAGTGAGGCGTTCGGAGTAAACACACGAGTCAGACAAGGGTGCTGGCTTATTATCACCAATGATATTCCTAATTGTGATGGACTGGATTATGCGTCAGACAGTGAGTGGGAAACGAGCAGACAGGGATATCCTGGACCGACGTGAAGAACCTAGAAGACCCGGATTTCGCGCGTGGATGAATTATGTTTGATGTCACTGTCACAAAATCGAAGACTTACAAGCGAAAACCGACAAACTGGTCGAAGAAGCAGTCGGCGTAGACAGGACTCCAAGTGAACATAGACAAGCCAGGAGGTGATGAAAATAACCAGCCAACAAGAACAACAACAAGAGCGGCAACATCCAGCGCCTATCACCATCAACAGGAGGGATTTGAAAGAGGCTAGTTACTTCATTCACTCACTTATCTAGGGAGCATTGTCTCAACTACAGGAACGGAGGAACGGACGAGGATGTCAAATCGAGCGAGAATCGGGAAGGTGAGAAACACATTCATTCATCAACCTGAAACCAATCTGGAAGGAAATCTTCGTCACTCAGCCAGCGTCAACAACAAAATTCGGTCGGATTTTCAATACAAACAACGTGAAGTCAGTCAGTTCTTCTATACGGACGGATTAGAAACTTGGCTGACGGGTCACAAAGAATATTTCCAACAGCCTGTTGCAGACCTTTATCAACCAACACCTGTCTTTGCTGGCTCTATACTGAAGATCAGATGGCCGGGCCGGAAAGAATCACCAACAAGAAACTATGGCTGGGAACAAACAAAACACGAACCAATCGCCAACCAACAAATATGCAGTAGAAAGTGGAGATGGATGGATTGGACACTCGCGGCTGAGGAGGCCGCTGGGTGACATCGTGCTCGTCAGGCCATTGATCAAGTGGAACCAGGCCGAGAGGGAAGTGGCGTGTGAGACGTTAGTGCAAGGGTGACATGGAGGAGATTGTGTGAAGAGGAGTTGAAAGAGTATGGACTAACATGTATGCAGGTGAAAAGCACAGCAGAAGGAAGACAGAAGCAAGTGGAGATGTGCAGTTGAAGCCCTATGTTCCACTAGGAACCCAAGGGAACAGTTTTTAGAAGGATAGTAGAAATGGTTTAATGATTCTCTTTTATATGCACGGGGCCAGTTTCTTTATCTAGATGGTTAAAACTTTAGCAATGCAGAGGAGATGGTAGTGTGTTGCTGTTGGCAGGTTACTCTCCCTAGATATCAAGGTTAATCTACAGTTTATTTTTGGCACAAACGATGTTTCATTTCTTTGAACTTTTGGACTGATATTCCTGTCAATGAATCTCTAGTAGGTATCCATTTTGGATAAAGATTTCTTTCAGGAGATCTAACTCTTCTTCGAGAGCGTAAGGAATACAGATATGTCAGATGCTGATGGCAAGAAATTCGGCTAAATCTTGTTTAGTTTCTATAGGTATCCAAGTGTAGAAACTTGTTGGTTGACGGTCCCATGTGGCTTTCCTAAGAACAGACCTTCTTAGGGTTACGTTAGTTCACCATTTTAGTTTAACACTAATAAAACGGAATTTTAAATTCTTTTTCCATTTTAAAGGTGAATTTTATTGCTGGGCGGCATGTGTTAAACACCTCCAACAACTGGTTAAGGTGCTAATTGTCATCAGAGATGATAAAAATGGCATTCACCTACCCTATATACAGTTGGAAATTATCAGTAGTTGACTTTTATAGGCAATTCTCCAAGCTTACTATAGAAAAGTCTGCTAGCAATGAAACCATAGGAGATGCCACTGCGATGCCGTCCATGTGTCTGTTATTGATGTCATTTATTGATCATAATCATACTAAGGTGATTATGTTTGTGAGCGATAAAGTTTGCCCGGCATATCATGAATAACTAATACTGTATCACTGTGTGCTTTTGCCAAACAAAATTATTCTGTTCTATCCGCCTTGGTATTTCTCTAAACATAAAAAGTGTGTCGGCGTATAACATCTAGTAATAATTATGAAATTGGCGTTTACATCAGTCTCCAGTAACTCAAACATACTTGTTTGGTGATAGCCAACGATTGAATTCGAGACACACTTTTCGTTCTATTCGGGGACATTTTAGTTGACTGTACCCGCCATCCAATGAGTGATAATGTTCCCACCCATTACATAAAAGGCGGTTATCGTAACCTCCTGGTCTGGTGAATAAAACTTTGGTGTTTTAAATGATGTGTGCTAGATTCGAATGCCAGTGGGAACACCATCAGTCACTAGAGTTGCTGGTACATTCACTGAACAAGTCTCAAAGTAAGACAAAAATGACGCCTTCTCCAGACAAGTAACTTCAAGTTCAAGAAACTCACTTATGAAAATGAGGCTAATCAATTTAGCACAGATATATCAAGGGGAAATGACAAACATGAATTATTATTGTTCCCCTGGGCTCCAAAAGGAACATACAGCTTCAACAGCATATCTCCACTTTGCCATATTCTCTGCAGTCCACTTCATCTGGTCTAACGACTGCCTTTAATAATAATAATAATAATTTTGCTTTATTCCAGAAACAGTACTTGTAACAGTGTGGAATTTTCAGCACTTTATCTACAATATTGCGTCTAATTTTATCAAACATTGAAAAGGAGTATTTCAAAAAATAAATATAAAAACAACAACCACAAAAATAAAAAAACACAAAAATAATTTTAAAAAATGCGAAAAAATACCAAGAAGTAGAAAGGAAAGTAAACAACATAATAAATAATATCTCAGTATTGGGTAGTGGAAGCTATGATATGTTTATGCGTGGTGAACAGTAACAGCTATAGTCATACAAGAAGTCATGAAAATAATATTTAAGAATGTTTATCGGCAAGATGATCAGTTAATTTGATTGAACAACACTAAAGAACCATAAAATAAACATTTCAGTTTTTTTTGTCAACACTAATGCAGTGTTTGTAGTGGTAGTGTGAGTAATCCTGCATAATACAAAATTTTAAGATAGTAATAATGGCGTTCACAACCAAGATTGTCAGTTAATATTGCCGAACAAAAACAACCACAAAACGAATATTACATGCAGGTTAATGACAGGACGATTTTGTAATACTCATAGTGCTAATATAGTCGGAACCAGTAGATACACAAAAGAGGGAATAGAGTAAAGTACAAAAGAAGTAAGCCAATGTTAATAATTTAGGTAGCTAACTATATTTAAGAAAGCGTTTACTACAGAATACAAATAAGAGAGAAATAAAAGAGCCAAAATTATGTTATTTACAACAAAGCAAGTCATAGGTTTCGCGCCTAACATTGTCTCTGTCACTTAGAACACGGGCCAAATATGGTATCGTTGAGTTCCTATACTTGGTTGTACGAGCATATTTTTTTTTGTACTGGTTTCTGGTTCTACCTGAAGAGATGCAAGGACAGATTTGGGAATAGAGGTGGTGTTGGGGGTCGGAGAGTATGGTTTTAGACCATTTTTCCCATGTATTCAGATGTCTTTCTACTAATGTAGTGACGAGCTGACTGAGTTCTACACCACTAGTCCTACTAACTACCTTCAACATCCTTCTCAGGATGGTGTAGTCCTTTTCAGTAACCCAGGAAAGACTAATGGGGGGGGGGCAGTAAAGTAGAATAGGTAGGATACGAGAGTTGACAAATTGTGAAAGCAGAGGTTGGGTGTCTCGTCTCCTCCATTTCACCTAACTCGAAGCTTCGCATTCGGGATTCCACTCAAGCAGTGACGTGACGCGCGATTTCATCTGACGGCCTCCGCATCGAGTGTGTCTCTGATCCATCTTCATTTTTTTTTGGAATATTTATTTAGCAATACGTTATTCGTTTAATCGTTTCCAAAGTTTATTCATTATTATTATTATGATATTATAAACAGTAATTGTTCTTCAATGAAAAATTCATTCATCTTCATTATTTTTAGATGATATGCTATATTTCACAATTTATATTCGGTAATGGGGAAAAGAAAATGTCATCAAATGACCTGATCATGACATCAAGTATTTTAGCTTTATTTATCAATGGATTATGTTTTGCTGTCTTATTAATGTGTCTTAAAGTCACTAAAAAGAAATGAATTATGTGTGTTAACGTATATGTATACAGATTTAATCGTTATTCAGTAGTATAACTAACTATTTGGGTTAACTGAATTGTTGTAATATGACATTCATTATAAAAAAGAAGTAATCAACGATTCTATATATTTTATTAATGATAAAAAGCTTTTGTTTGTTAAAAAAAATAAATCATTTTTCGTGTTTATCAATAATAACAATATTATTAATACTCACTTGGGTTCCGTGTAGAATACAGAGAAGCTTCACAATTACATGTCCGTTTCATTCTGTTTTCTGCAGTTTTCGTTTAGCTGACTTCATGATTTCCAGTTGTTTCTCATTTCTTCCACATTCAATCTCTTCCATGTCACCTTTGAACATCAACCTCATCGTTTCCAAGTATTGGTTTGTAGGAATTTCATTGATTGGTTACATGATTTCATCATGAACCATTGGAAAGCCAGTAGGGAGTACTGAACAGCTGTTTCGCCAGCCCACTTTGGGACTATTCAGAAGCACGCACCCGCCATCACGGTTTGAACTCAGGACCTTCTGGTTACAAAGCGAGCTAGCTCTCAGACCATTAAGCCACTGGGACCCTATCCAACGGTCAGCTCGTGAATTCTAACTTCTGACAATTCATGACATAGCGCGACCACTTTGCAGTGTCTTCTTCGATGAGTTGCCGTCCTACCTTCAACCTGCTGTACCCTAATCGTCACGGCTTCTCACTAGAACCCCATGTAACTACCTACCTGAATAGGGCCAGTCACTAGTGAACACCCATATTGAACCCTACCAGCGGGCGCGTGCTACTGAAGAGTCCACAAACAGAACGAAACAGGTGTCTAATGCTCCCAGGTTTTCCAGTCGTTCTCTAACAGATGTCGGCTCATGATGAAATCATGTAATTCAGCATTTTCAATTCAACTTTCAGTCGAGGGATTGACCATCGCATGATGCCACTCAACTGTCTTCTCAGAGTGTGTCCGATCCATCTCCAATCTCCAAGGCATATTTCTTGGGTGATTGGTTTTTGATTGGTCCATCCCTAGAGTTCCCTTTTGTTTTTCTTTTCGGTTCAGCCATCTGAACTTCAGTATGGATCAAAGGTAACTGTTGATTAAAGTATGCAGCAGCCGGTTGCAAATGCTTTTGGTGACACGTCAAGTTTCTAAACTATAGAATCACTGACTGATTTGACATTAGTGTTGAGATCAGAAGCTTGTTCTTCTGTTCTGATGAATGCAGTAGATATCCACACTGATTCCAGATTAATGAAGGTTTATATTGCCTTTCGAATGCTTGCTTTGATGCCTACATCTGCAACATCAGTAGTTGAAATGATTCTCCCTAGATAAGTGAATGAGTTAGTTTCCTTCCAAATTTCTCCCGCCGATGGTAATCAGTGCTTGTTGTTGATTAGGTGTCTTCATCACCTCCGTCTTCTGTGTATTTACTTGGAGTTCTGTCTTCGCTGCCAGCCTCTTTTGCCAACTTTTTGTTTTTCGCCTAAATGACATTCCATGTCCTACTCGATGACGATGCGTAGATTTGCAATTTGATGAGCAAATGAGTTGCTTTCTCTGAATCCAGTTTTTCCGGAGTGCAGTTCTGCATCCAGTGCATTCCTTAGTCTCCCCAGGATGACACGACTAAACATTTGGTGCGTACTCATATAAATATTGAAATCCTTGTACTTACAGATTATTGAAGCCATTCTGATTTGGTCCGATGCTTACTGTTGACTGGCCTATTCAGGTAGGTAGTTACATGGGGTTCTAGTGAGAAGCCGTGACGATTAGGGTACAGCAGGTTGAAGGTAGGACGGCAACTCATCGAAGAAGACACTGCAAAGTGGTCGCGCTATGTCATGAATTGTCAGAAGTTAGAATTCACGAGCTGACCGTTGGATAGGGTCCCAGTGGCTTAATGGTCTGAGAGCTAGCTCGCTTTGTAACCAGAAGGTCCTGAGTTCAAACCGTGATGGCGGGTGCGTGCTTCTGAATAGTCCCAAAGTGGGCTGGCGAAACAGCTGTTCAGTACTCCCTACAGGCTTTCCAATGGTTGTTAAAAAAATATTGAAATCCCCCAACCATTCTCATTTACTTCATAAACTGATGTTTTCGATTTTTTGTTCTTCTCGTGGTTGTCAGACCATGGTTAGATGTAACAGCAGAAAGACCGAAACTAACTGAAAATTTGGAAAACATATTTTGCTTGTTAAATAAAGTAGTGTATGTCATAAAGAAATATTTCTCAGTTCATCCCTATATTTTCTCTTCAACGGCAGTGTCAAAGGCTTTCTGATCGTCTCTTCTTATCATTTAACATCAATTTAAAGTGCACTGCAATGGCTAGTCACAAAGTTTTGTGATAGCATTGTGAAAGTGACCAACAGAATTCAGTCGACATGACTTTAGTTACGCCCTGCTTATCAGTCCATGTACTGATTTATAAAATACTTTTCTATTTACACACCGCTGAAAACTGGATTCCTGATTACTGAAGATTTTTATTTATCTTTTTAAAATTTTTGATTACAGCTTAATTCCACACCGTATTTTTGGTACAAGTATGGAATTTTCAGCATGGATATCGGTAGCCGAAATTTTGCAGGCCGACCATAGATATCAAGATGTGCATCGGCGTGGGCTCGAACCCCGGATCATTTGTATGGTTGGCGAGAGTCCTAACCACTGTGCCACCGATGCTATGCGTGCTTTTTATGCTTGGAATTATTTACTTATGACAGTTCTGTCTAGTATGAAATAGCTTATATTTCAAATAGATTTGACTTCGTAAATTCTTGACATCAATAAAAAAAAGACTTTTCGAAACCAGTTGAATCACAGACTTCAGAAACAAAATAATAGAGAATTTAGTTAGCAATTGAAGGACAGTGACGATAAGGTATCCGACTGAAGAATATGTGCTGTTATTTGTAATCATTAAAGAGAAAGCACCTAGAAGAATTCAACTTACTTGCAAAAGAATAAAGCATACTATTCAGTAGTAGTGAGACTGTCTTCAGGGACTCAATATACTGCAGTTTCCAAATAGCAATTACTTTTGTTCCTTGAATGTGTCCAATGGTGTTTTCATTCGAAATATATACAGGAAAAATTAAAATAAATGTGAAGCTGGCAAGAAGAGTGGTTACTGTTCAAGATATATTGGAATTTCATTTGAGGTATGTATAATCGGGGATAAACATTTGAGGATAGGAAACTATTGACATTAATCAAAAAACAAATGGAATGAGACAGAATAAATTTTAATAAGCTGCAAGAGAATAAGACCACGAAAGATTTAAGGGGATTGAATAAGACCTTTTTTATCTAGAACTACAGTTTCTCTATTTCAAAATAAGCAACAAAGGTTAATAAAGCAGGATGACTTAATGAATTCATCAAATTTCGGTAGAACTCATCAGCTGAATACTCTACATACACAGACATATATATATATATACTCTTGAAATTACACTGGAAGATATAAGACTGATAAGCAAATAAACTGCATTGAATTATTCATGGAGAAACACAGGTGAGAATGTTTTCCAGGTCATGTTCAAATAGATAAGAGGAGAGATTAAAATTAAGATAAAATGCATTACGCTTCAATTACATCACTTAGATAAACAATTAGTCATTAGAAAATATAACAGGAATTTTAAACAGGGTGATGTCAATAGTAATAGTTATAATAATAATAATTTAGACAAAGCAATGAGAAGACGTAATTTGTCTGAATCGTGTAATGTATTTGCCCAACACATTTCGAACAGTTTGATCACATACGGACTTGTCATAGGAATATATATATGAACTTAATAAAGAGTTAAGAGGTGAGAAAATAATTGTAGGCCATGTTGAAACGACATATTGAGAGTCAAAATAACAATGAAGATCACGGTGGTTAGGACTGTCGCCGGCCATGCACATGGTCCGAGGTTCGATCCCCTGCCAACGCCCACCTGATATCTATGGTCGGCCTGCAAAATTTGGGCTACCGATATCACATGCTGAAAATTCCATACTTGTACCAAAAATACAGTGTGGAATCAAGCTGTAATCAAAAATAAAAAAAATAAAGATAAACCAAATAACAGAGGTAATAGTACATCTACTATGGCATCAAAACCAAGTTTACCACAGAAGGTATAGTGTGATGGCGAATTGCTTTTGAAGCCATAATAACAATAATAATAATATTGAAGTGAGCTAAGATAATGCTACTGATATGAGATAGTTTTAAATGAATAAATAATATTAAAAATAATGATAATAATTATAATTATTAGAGGTAGAATGATAAGTAAAACGTAATGTTATCTACTTGAACATGGTCTGGAAAACATTCTCACCTGTGTTTCTCCATGAATAATTCAATGCAGTTTATTTGCTTATCAGTCTTATATCTTCCAGTGTAATTTCAAGAGTATATATATATATATGTCTGTGTATGTAGAGTATTCAGCTGACGAGTTCTACCGAAATTTGATGAATTCATTAAGTCATCCTGCTTTATTAACCTTTGTTGCTTGTTTTAATTTCGTATCGGGAAATAAATGTTTCCAGTTCTCTATTTCGCTTGGTAAAGTTCCAGCAATTTAGAAGTAGTTAGTCTTGCTTTGTAAGTAATTCTGAAAGACAAGTTTACTGTTATTAAATGACTTTCACTAACCATATATACAACTATCAGGGTTCTTAAATATCCACTTTCATGTGTTAATAATCACTAAGGCCAGTGTTCTTGAACGCTTGTTGATACTTGCCGTGTCTGATTACCGAAATACCTAACTCCGCAAAATTAAGTGGACCAGTATACACATATAAAATCTTTTTAATCTGAAATCCTATCCTTCAGACTGCTCAAAAATGAGTATCCCACTGGGGGCAACTACTTTCCGTGATGCTACAACTGTGCTGTTATCACAGAGTTCAAAATTCTCCCATTTAGAATATCAACAGTTACATTTAGATCAATAAAATACAACATTTTCTGAGTGTTAAAAATAGTTTGTATACCAACGGCTTCCATTTGATTTTTCTACCTATGAACCAAGGCGAATACAAATTTGCCATTTAGAATCTTCCTATGAGATTTGTGCCCTCTTACAAACCATCACGGTTGCTTATATATGTATAATGAAAGTAGTAGGCACTCAGAAATAGGAATTTATTTGTTGGGGGATTTCATCATGAGCTGACACCAACTAGGGGACCATCGGAAAACCTGGGAGTACTGGACGGCTGTTAGGGACTCTCTGGCGGTACGTACGCAGAAGTTAGAATTTATGGACCACTGGATCGCTTCTCAGTGGCTAAATTTTGTGCGAGCTCACTAGTCTTGTAGCCATAAGGTCCTGGGTTCGAACAGTGGAGGTGGATGCGTACTTCTGAAGAGTCCCAAACTGGGATGAAACGGCTACCCAATACTGTCCAATGGTTCTTTAACCGATGCCAGCTCATGATGAAATCCTCCAAACACTCAAATCAAATTCCCTACAAAACGAATGCTGAGAATATATATTAATTGAGAACTACTGGCAAACTGACTATTAGTCTGTCTCAAGAAGTTTCTATCATATATCAAAGAAAACTTTATGATAGGGAGGCGGGATTCTCAGATTGATTGCAGACTATTTTACGATCAGGCTGCAAAACAGTCTGTTGAGATCAAAAATCAAAGATTTTCAGTTGAATGAAATGCATATGGAAAAATATTCTCTTTCTAGTGACATGAAACGTACTCAGTATATTTTTCATGCGATCATTCTCTCTAAGCTTGGTGATTTCGTTAAGAAGCTTTTATTGCCCTTCTAGACAATATTTTCAATACAAGTTGCAATATATCAGCCAGCTACATAGTTCACTCTTGCAATATATAAAGTGCCTATGAAATTCCCTCTCTCGATTTAAAGCTATCAGAAAATATTAGCGGAAGCTTGAAGCAAACAAACCACAGAAAGCCAATGTAAAACGGTCAAAGGAAGTTGTTTGCAAAGATTTCGGGATGGGATTTCTCATGAGAGAATAATTGTGGTGATTGAAAATTTCTATTACTGTGGTCCATTCTTAAATTCATATTATGCCTTAATTATTTTGGATTTTTATTCTAGATGTTCAGAAGTCATCATTACAGACAGTCTTAACGCAAAATTCATACAAAAAGCTTTGAGGAAGATTTTTAGTCGAGAAGGAATTCCAGGTGTCTTAGTTATCGATAATAGTACTCATTTCGCTGAGCAGAACTTCAATGATTGGCTTAAACATATAGATTGTTGTCATCTGTACACAGCACCATGTCATCCTAAGTCTGACGAGTTGGCGTAAAATTTCGTACGAACATTAAAGAGTGCCATAGCATCAATGAGTCATAAGAATTTCAGTGAGTTGGAGAGATGTGTAGATAACTTCCTATTTCAATATCGCAATGCGCAGCATACAAGTACCCATGAAAGTCCTGTAAAACTATTCAGATCTCGAATTCCCGAAGGCATCTGATGTTCCCGACTTTTGATGTACATTATTATAGAGGGAATGACTATGAACCTTCTGTTGGAATCATACTTTAAAAAATGAGAAATCGAATGATGAAGCTATTAGACATCAGAGATCATTCAGTTCACAACCGACACCTGCATCAAGTGACCTTTTTTTGATTACAGCTTGATTCAACACCATATTTTTTGGTACAGGTATGGAATTTTCAGCATGTGATATCGGTAGCCCAAATTTTTCAGGCCGATCATAGGTATCAGGTGTGCGTCGGCAGGGGATCGAACCCCCGACCATGTGCGTGGTGGCCAAGAGTTGTAACCACTGTGCCACCGACGCAGTCGGTGGTAGGTCGTTCCAATTATAATTTAAATGATTCTGCTACTAATCCTGATTCTGTAGATAATTTAAAGATAAGTCCAGATGATACTGATGAAAATAATACCACAGAATCAGTTAGAAGATCACAGCGACTTGCAAGCAAACCGAGACCTCATTATAAACACGCAAGGAGATATCCGACATGTGACGGATGTAGTGATTGACAATATCTATCACTGTATTGTTTAAATACTTACTGTTGTTTGTTAATATATTTATTATGTGAATTGCAATAAATTCTGCCAATTACAAATTCCTCATTCCATCCTTCTCTGTATTGTTGGTTGATTTTCTGTGATTCAGTCATTGAGAAATACTACTACTATCACAAAATAACTATTACAATTATCTTTCAAATAATCACTATGAAAAGATTAGACAAGCTTTCATTTGGCAGATTTGTCACTGCAATAACAGTTTTTAGCAGTCAATTAAGTAAACCGGTGAAATGAAATCCGACTGAGTGATCTGGGAGACAACAATCGCAAATAATGAGCTGTAATCATCTTACATGTGGGCAGTTAAATTATCGAAGAGCAAATATAAATTAACAAATATTAGTTGTATGACTAATAGCAGTGATGAATATTCAGATTTAGTGTGATAATTTCTCGTTCGCTTAAACTAGATAAATAAGGAAGACACGTAAATGAAGAAAGTAGCCTACATTGCATTACTAACTAGAAAAGCAGCAGTTTTTCCGTAAAAATCTGGTAAATTTATCAACAAATTACCTAACTGCAGCATTTATTATTTTATTATTATTGTTCCCTTGGGTTCCAAATGGAACATAGGGCTTCAACTGCACGTCTCCACTTGCTTCTGTCTTCCTTCTGGTGTGCTTTTCACCAGCATCCATGTTAGTCCATACTCTTTCAACTCCTCTTCACACAATCTCCTCCATGTCACCCTTGCACTAACGTCTCACCCGCCACTTCCCTCTCGGCCTGGTTCCACTCGATCAATGGCCTGACGAACACGATGTCACCCAGCGGCCTCCTCAGCCGCGAGTGTCCAATCCATCCATCTCCACTTTCTACTGCATATTTGTTGGTTGGCGATTGGTTCGTGTTTTGTTGTTCCCAGCCATAGTTTCTTGTTGGTGATTCTTTCCGGCCCGGCCATCTGATCTTCATTATAGAGCCAGAAAAGACAGTTGTTGGTTGATAAAGGTCTGCAACAGGCTGTTGGAAATATTCTTTGTGACCCGTCAGCCAAGTTTCTAATCCGTCCGTATAGAAGAACTGACTGACTTCACGTTGTTTGTATTGAAACTCCGACCGAATTTTGTTGTTGACGCTGGCTGAGTGACGAAGATTTCCTTCCAGATTGGTTTCAGGTTGATGAATGAATGTGTTTCTCACCTTCCCGATTCTCGCTCGATTTGACATCCTCGTCCGTTCCGCCTTCCTGTAGTTGAGATAATGCTCCCTAGATAAGTGAGTGAATGAAGTAACTAGCCTCTTTCAAATCCCTCCTGTTGATGGTGATAGGCGCTGGATGTTGCCGTTCTTGTTGTTGTTCTTGTTGGCTGGTTATTTTCATCACCTCCTGGCTTGTCTATGTTCACTTGGAGTCCTGTCTACGCCGACTGCTTCTTCGACCAGTTTGTCGGTTTTCGCTTGTAAGTCTTCGATTTTGTGACAGTGACATCAAACATAATTCATCCACGCGCGAAATCCGGGTCTTCTAGGTTCTTCACGTCGGTCCAGGATATCCCTGTCTGCTCGTTTCCCACTCACTGTCTGACGCATAATCCAGTCCATCACAATTAGGAATATCATTGGTGATAATAAGCCAGCACCTTGTCTGACTCGTGTGTTTACTCCGAACGCCTGGCTGAGTTTTCCGATGTGGATCACTTTGAGATGTGCCGTTGTCGTGCAGCCGTTGAATAAAGTTGTACATCAACAAATAGGGAAGTTTTTCAGCAAATATACAATTACATTATTAAATACTACAGATTATAATACCTAAGACCAGAGATGAAACTGTTAAACATTAAACTTAAATACTTTTCACTCTATACTTCGTTGATCACGTGATATAGATAACTGACAAACTAGATATTTGGATTCAATGAAATGACTGTCACAAAGTCAATGAATTTGACGGAGTTCAAAGTTTAATCATGAGTGATATTGATCAGGAGCTAGTGATTGACACAACACAATGCTTGCCATCAGCATGACACCACACGTGATAATTATTAGTCCGTGTTGCATGTGATTCACTACGATCTCCTGCATAAATACACCTTCGTCGTATCCACAAGAAATAGTTGTGTTGAAGATTGCAGATGAAGACTGCGCTTACATTCTGTCTACTACTTCTCATCGCCTTATTCTACACTGATGCGCAGTTATCTGAGGAACAGAAGAAAATCTACAGGTTTCATAAGAGGGTTCGTGAGGGCGCATTAACTTGTCAGATTCCTGGTCAACCACCAGCTAAAAAACTGGAAAGACTGGTGAGTTTGGATTGTATATCGCATTATAAATTGTGTTTACTAGAGTAGCTGTGTAATAAGAATGAAACAGTCTGACTTATGTATATTTAGCAGGGTGTTAATTGCAAAATGGTGCGTGTGTGTGGATTGGCTAACCACTGGAGAATGACCACTGAGGAATACTCTGCTCTCATCTTTCGGAGGTTATCACTGTTCTACAATTCGGTTTTTCACAGTCTACAGATGAGACTCAGATGGTTCCTATACATTTGGATCACTCAGTTCATCATATTTAAGTCAGCTATCATTTTTATTATTGAGCCAGACTAATGCTACATTCTCTTTCGGGATTACCTCGGCTCATATTCATCAGAGGCAAATTTTCCACATCTATTTGTCACGCTTAATCAAGTTCTACAAATTGAATTACACTAATCGTTTATCAAAACCGTTCATTTACTTCTTTATATAGAAGTGGAGCAAAAAATTAGCGAGAAAAGCACACGAGCAAGCCAAAAGATGCGATTTTTATTCCGATGATCCAAATGATTTAATCATTGGTAAATTTAATTCAGTTGGGCAGAATATTGCAGAGTTTCCATCGATTTCGGGGTAAGTTTATGCATCTATTAGTGAGTAATTTATGCTTATCTTAAAGTGCACTGAAAGGCTGGTTTAAAGAGCATAAAAATTACGATTTCGAGAAGAATGAGTGTAGAGGTGATTGCAAAAATTACAAACAGGTATGTACTATCACGATAAACATTTCCTTCAAATTTTCTAAAATATTCATGTATTGTGCAACTATTATCTTAGGATGTATAATTACGTAAATAATTGATCAGTACGACCCACAGATTTTTCCTCTTGAGGACTGCTTCATTATTTTTGAACATTTGCCGCTGATTCATCCAGTTCGAAGTTGGATATAAACCATTCGACGGACACACAGTGTAATGTAATGAACAAGAAGCATTTTCGCCAAGATTATGTTTTCTACTTCACACAATTGACTTATGCCCATCAAATTGTAATCATCAACCTTATAAGTTAATTGATTTTCTGCAAGTTAAATAATGTCGCCTTTTGACTTCTCAAGAAGTCATAAGGTGTCAAACACAATGCAAGATCGTTTGCATGCATATCAGTCATTGAAGAAATGAGGAGTGAAAACCTTTAGTTCACTTGCTGAAATCCCTTTTACAATAGATTTCTATCTTAAAAGATATAGAAGAGGTTAACAGAGTTCTAACATCACCAAAAATAGCCAATGAGTCGTAAAGAAAATAAAAGACAATTCGGCGAAGAAAATTTTCTTTTCGACAAAGTCATCAACAAGGCTGTACATTCGTGTGATTATATTAAATGGGTGAGAAAGTTCCAGAATTATTTCCAGTCTGTGGCACAGCGGTTAGGAATCCCGCCAACCAGGCACATCGTCCGGGGTTCGATCCCCTCCCGACGCGCACTCGATATCAATGGTCGGCCAGCAAAATTTGGGCTATCGATATCACATGCTGAAAATTCCATACTTGTACCAAAAATACGGTGTGGAATCAAACTTTAATAGCAAAAAAATAAAAAAATAGAATAAAAAAATGATTAAAATTACGATGTATAATAGAATGGAAGGTCGGTTAGGGAAGACATAATAAGATATAATTACTTAGACGTGGCTTTATAAGTCAGAATAAAAGCTGTAAATTACGTAGTACTCGATGATACGAAGGAAGAATGGGTTAAAAATTTTATAAGGTTAAATGTAGTTGAGTGCCAGTTTAACAATTGTGAAAATGCACAAAAGGATCATATGAAAGTGATACTGGTGAATTAATTATTAAAGTAAAAGCAAACTAAAAACTGGAATTAAAAATTAATAAGAAATGAAAATTAATAAATAATTTTCTACAGGAGCGACCACTGAAAAGGTTAAGATCATGGTGGAATAATAGACTGGACAAACGATTTTGTATGCAGAGATCGGGGTTGTATTGACGAATTGCTGACGCCTCCACCATAAACAAAAGCCTGAAACCTAACGCCCTTTATACTATCTGGTCACACCCTGTAGATGATCTTGAAAGATGACACTGGTGGAGCTATGTGGCTTCAGTTCACTTAGTTCTCGAGGGTTCAGCTAGTAACTGTCTTGCATTATCCTTTTGTTAACCATGTCGGATAATGTCCAGAGATGCGTTCAGAAAGTAAGCACTATGTGTAGCCAATATAACTAGCTCCACAGGAGCAGGTGAATTTATAAACACACACTGAGGTGGCCCAAAGCAATAGTTTATCCTTCACATAACCACTGATCATTTGTCGGCTATAGAAATTGATCCATAGCTTAGCCGCAAAGAAAGCTTTTCTCAGTGATCTGTATAAGCGATTCTTCACAAGTGATACCGCAGCTGAGATCCTGATGTTCGGTGTCTGTTAATCTGTCGACTCCTAGTCAAGACACTTCAACAATGTTTAAAGATATACAACATACACACAAACACACACAGTGAATTCTGAAAATCTCTCAGACACTTGACATAACTGAATTTGTAGATAACATCACTTTACATTTTTTATTTGCAGATGGTTTGGAATACTACCAAAGCAGTTGGATGTGGTGTACACAAATGTGATAAGAATTATCTCGTCGTTTGCAACTATACGCCATCGTAAGTCACATTTGATTCATTTCATTCGAGATAAAATCTATACACATGAGTGAGTATCTGACTGCAGCCGATAGTGAAGAAACGGAGTCAGTTTCACGACCTGATCTATGTATATATTTTCTTTTCATAGTTGGATGCATTGACGTTTATTTACTTCTCAGCATAATGACTGATTAACTCTTTACTTTGTTAACGATTTTAGAGATTCTGATCGTAGACCATATGAAGTGGGTTCAAAAAGTCAATGCAAGGAATGATGAACGTGATCGCTAATATTATTTGCACTGCTATATAAAAAAAAATTGAAAAAAAGAAATACAAAACAAATAGTTTATATTTACGCTTCTTTATCTCGCTTATTGTGGCGGAATGACAATAATTCACGCGACATAATATTCATTTTGAGATAGCGAATTTATTAAATGTCTTTGATGTAAAAGGACTTCGTAACTAGCTAGTTACGATGTTGGCGTAGTGGTCATGTAAGCTAAGAAAATAATAATAATAATTTGCTTTATTCGAAAACAGTACTTGTGATACAGAATGGAATTCTCAGCATTTTATTACAGTATTACATCCAGTTAGTACATTAACAATAAATTAAATTCTACATAGATTAAGGTAATCTCAGTAAGTTTTGACAACAACATATTGGCATGTTGGTAGCAATGCCAAAATTAAACAGAGTGTTTGAATACGCAGACATCGTCGAAGCATCTGCACAAGAAGCCGATATGTCAACCTGAGACCGAGCACTTCGGTCCAATCAATCGATGGGAAAATCAAAAATTCATTTCAGTGTTTGAAGGTGTTCGAAAAGTAGATGGTAGCATATTTACTGGCGTTAGCGGTAATAAAATGTCGAGATATATGGAGTGTGTAAAAACGAAGAAGAATGTTTTAAATAGAGTTTGTAAGGAAAAAAGAAACACGGCAGCACATAACAAGAAGAAAGAGAAAAGGAAAAGAAAGAGAACGTTGTACCTATGAGTTGGAAAGACGAGATCCAGTTTTAAAATGGAAAAAAACGTATCTATGTAAAAATTATATCTGTAAAATCTCAGAGCGTTTCAAACAAACTACAGACCTTCATTAACAGTTGTCTTCGCTCACTACTCAAGATCAGATGGTCGGCCAGAAAAGATCAGCAACAGGGATCTCCGGGAGCGAACCAACCAGGAACCGATTGTGAAACAAATAGGCAGGAAGAAATGGAGATGGATTGGCCATACTCTGAGAAAATAAACCATCAAGTGACATCACTAGACAAGCCACTGCTCGACTGAAACCCGAAAAGGAAGCGGTGAGTTGGTCGTCAGTGCAAGGGTGACTTGGAGAAGGTCATGTGAAAAGGATGTGGGCAGACTTGGAGCGGGGTGAAAAAATTGGCAGAGAACCGAAGGAAATGGAGACGCGCGGCTGAAGCCCTATATTCCTCTAAGAATTAAAGGATATAATAATAATAATAAAATCTAAGAGAAAGTCGAATGAGTAATTCCAAATTTTCGTTTGGCAAAACTTGTCCAAACTTCTTCAGGAAAATTAATCGAAATTAAAATAACAAAGGTTTACATATAAAAAAGGCATATCTTATCTTAAAAATCTTTATCCAATCATAAGAGTCATCAAACAGGCATCAATATATATTCGACAAAATTACATGAACTCTAATCAAAATTTGATGAAAGGCCTAGTTTATCCGAAGAAGTTCAGACCAATTCACCAAACGAAACGTTGGAATTAATCACTTCAATTTTGCTGAGATTTTACAAATATAATTTTTATATATGTCTACTTCTCACTGGGTGCGCAGTTATTTTGGAACTGCTCGGTCAAATCTTGATTACAGTTCATATGAGTGTGTACTTCTGCACCAGAATTTTAGTGATTACGTTTGACTAAAGGTTCATGGTCATAGATAGCTGAATATGAAAAAATATATGTGTATATGGTGTGTACAACGGTGTGTGTGTGTGTGTATGCAGAAACAATTGTAAATCATTTGTTAACCTCTCTATAGTAATTCAATTCAACTCTCTATAGTAAGATATAGACAATCGGGAATCCAGATTAAGTATGATTAATTAGTGATACATATCCAGTTTTATTTATTAATCAGGATTTGCCATGCATTAGTTAACATCACACCTTCACAACTGTTCAAACTGTTGGGATTCACCCATATATGTAAGGCCTCTGAAGTCAGTTTTCCTGTATACGAACCACGATCTCTCTGTAAAACTTTAGTCCTATCAAAGTTGACCTTGTGTCCCCTTCCATTGAATGCAGTGCAATCGCCAATCTGTTTTCCAGCCTCTTCAAGTTTGTAGATGTCTTTGGAACCACCTTAAGATATTGTTAATACTCCTTCGCTTTCATATTTGACTATCTGGAAGTTTCTCTTACACGTATGGCTTCATAATTTCCACAACAGATCTGGTACACCCAATTGCGTTGGTTTTCTTCTTCTATTTTATCCTTAACCTTAGCCAGTCATGAGCACAGTGTGTTAGTGTCATGAAAATACACTCTTATAGCATAATTGTTAAGGAATTGCTTTATATTATCAGATGTTTGTTTGCGGTAAGGAATCACTATTGTGCTAACCAGATTCCTAGCAACAGGTTTCCATTCATCCTTATCTTCACATTTTAAATATCTCTGTATAAAGTCTTCAGGATAAATTTTTGATTGAAGAGTGGACTGAACCAATTCTATTTGCCTGTTGATCTCTTCCTCTTCAGTAAATAGACGTTTTGCTCTGTTAATCAGATTCTTGGCTACAGTCACTTCATTGGTAAAGGGATGCGCTGAATAGTAGTCTAGGTATCTGTCCAAATGTGTCGGCCTTCTAAAAAAGGTCTGTTTTAAGTTTATCGTCTGCTTGCATTTTTACTAAACAGCCCAAGAATGCAAATCATTCTCGTCGGATTCAACCATTTGGGAAAAATTATTGGTTTCTGACATATCATTTATTAAATGAAAAAGTTCACTCATTATGCTGCGCCTGATGTTAACCACATTGTTGGTGGACTAGAGCATCTCATAATTGTATTTATTTCTAATGAGTGCATAAACAAACTGGCAGTTAACGGAGACGCCGATGATCTCATAGGAAAGCCTTGTTTAACGGCAAAGAACCCCTCTAAAGGTAGATAACGTGGAGCTCAGACAATTCCTATGCTTTCATAGTTTCATCTGGATTTAAAGAATAATGAGCATTGAATATGTCGTCAGAACAAAGTAAATTATAAATAATACTTAAAGAATCATTAACGGGAACATTCGTGAATAATTAATAAACACCAAAACTTGTCATTACTTCATCTTCATCAATATAAGTCGTGTTGATTTTTTTCTTAAATTCATACGAATTCTTCACTGCATATCCCACTTTCATTTCATATCGACTTAGTATTCAATAAATGTATTTAGAGAGTTTGTAGGTTGGGGAATTCGCAAAATCCATAACTGGATGCAATGGAACATATGATGTGTGTATTTCTGGCAATCCATAAAATCCACAGGGGCTGGAATATTTTGCAGTCAGAGTAAACCAAAGTGATACATCGAGCTTCTCTTTTTTATTGACTGCAACATTTTGCTTGTTTCAGCCTTCAGTTTATTCACTGTTGTCCTTAACTTTATCATGTCGACTTTTTCATAGGTTCCAATACAAATTTGGTCAATAGCTTCTTTTTCATAATCTACAGTGGTGATAACAACCGTATTACCTTTATCTGTTCTGGTTATGACTATCGATTTATCTCTCTGTAGTTGTTCTAATGCAAGCTGCTCGCTTTTGCCTATATTCGGCTTATTTGGCTTCTGATTTAGTAGTAAAGCCGTAATTTTGTGTCTTATGATGTCTACCTCTTCGGTTATCACACACTCTAACTACCGTTCATTGGATGGAACCATTTCGAAGGCCAATAAAAGTGAGTATCTATGTTTTAACGTAGACTGAATGCTTCTGACTACGATTAGACTAGTTGTAGGTGCGATATCAGTACAGTTGACAGCACTACATGGATTTGAGCTCAGAACAAATCATCAAGTCTCACCAAATGATGAATAGTTTGGTGACAGAAGCAAACTCAACACAGAGTAAACAATTCGCCCTGCCTAGCCTCAGCAGTCTGATATATCTATGATCTATATTTTCTGGTCTACGCATAAGAATCGTTGGACAGATTACTCCTTTTTTACAACGTAACACGGCAAAAGTAATTTCTAGTTTCTTGATTGTTATAACGGTAGGGAATTAAATGAGGACGTTGTCGTTTTGTTCTGTCTGCGCCTGACTAATATGCCCATCTGCTTGTGGTACCTTCCGATTCAGTGAACCAAGCAAATATCAAAAGACAAAAGCTGGCCTGTGACTGTATATTGTAGTACAACAACCACGACAAAGAAACTTATGTGTGGTGATTGACAGTTTCTATCTCTGTATTGTTTAAATACTTACTGATGACTGTTGATATGTTTCTTATATGAATTGCATAATAATTCCGCTAAATACAAATTCCTGAGTTCTGCCCTCTCTGTGTTTTGGTTGGATTGTCGTAATTCGGTCATCTTGAAACTCAAATACTTCGATTACAATAAATTACTACAAATTGGCGTCGCGATGGAACTAAATAACCTGGGAAAATTTTCCATTAATGGGTCTCCGCGGGAGATTGCTGATTATCCAGAATGCTTCGATGCGTGGTGCATTTCAAAGAATGTTCGGGATGACAAAATACCAGCACATTTCATCACTGCTATTGGGCTAGATTCATATAGCCTAGTAAAGACTCTGTCATTTTCAGATAAACCTATTTCTCTGCCATATTATAAACTCCGTGAACTCCTGATAGATCACTTCTATATAACTACTTTTGAGACGCGAGAGAGGGCTCACTTCAACAAACTGGTTCGCGCTCCCAACCAGAAGATTCGAGAGTTCATTCTTCAACTTCAAATTCAAGCTTCAAAGTGTAACTTTGGAGATCAGCTGCATACTCAACTACGTGATCGTCTAATTGCTGGAATCAATATTCCTCAGTTAGAGAAAGAGTTAATTCAGATTCCTTCTTGTACCTTTCAAACTGCTAAAGATTTTTGTATTACATATGAAGATGTCAATAATGAATACTCTGCTCCTACTACGTCAGTATCTGATGTCATGTTGTCCAAAGTCGAAAATACAAGTGGTCATGGAAAGAAATCCAAACTGCCGTCCACAGGTAACAGAATGCAGCGAGAGATCAAA